CCATCCGAATCAGTAAATGGTTAAAACGTCACATTTGGTGCCGCGACCAATACCAAGTCAGTTGGTTGTCACAGGACAGGACGGCGACGGCACGGAGAGAGGCCGGGGTGACGTCACACTTGTTCAGCTTACCTTCTTTTTCCGTGTCTTTTTTCTGACCCCTAACATGCCAAAACAGAAAGTTGGTTCAGTGTGTCGTGGTAGACAATTGTCTCGCCAGGATCTATCTTACATATATAAAATTGTAGCCACATATGATCTGGTGTTCTTGCTATATATTTAGAGACGCTTGATGATTCAAAGAATAATCTGCAGTGTTATTGGTCCTAAGCTGGCACCTCCACTTCATTTATTTTCCCATCACCATAATGTAACTTCTCTAAGCCTTTTCTATAAACATTTCAATGGTTATTTTTCTGGTGAGCTCTCCTCTATGGTACCTAGAATCTCGATTTAAGCGCATTACTAGATTGACGGCAAGATCTCATCAGTTTACAGTCGAAATTGATAAATGTAACCGTAATTTCTATGCTAAAAATTTATTTTCTCGTTCATCACCCTCATCTCGAATGTCGTGTTCTCTTTCGCCTTCTTGCTTTTCACTCAAGTTTGATCTTCAAATATATATATATATATATATATATATATATATATATATATATATATATATATATATATATATATATTTTCAAACGTTTTACCGCAAGAAAGGCGGGAAGCCATTAGCACGCAAAGGGTTACAGAGAATTGGAGCGAGAAAAAGAGGAGTGATAGAGAAAAGGATAAAGAAAGGGATAGTGGATAGATCAGGGCATCTGGAGACGTCGATTGACATTACATTTGAATAACTGGAGATTATAGTTGTCAGGGAAACAGGAAAAGGGGATGGTGTTCCACAGGCGAGAAGTGCGAGACCTGACGCTATTGGAGTACAAGAGACGGCTATATTTAACAGTTTCGATAGTGAAAGGGTGAGAGTGAGATGCTAGCTTAGTTAAACGCTTACATTCATGAAGTCTGGGAACCAAAAGCAGCTCATCGGAGCAGTTACTGTAAAAGTATTTGTAAAAAATACAGAGGGAGGCGACGGCACGTCGTGAGGGAGCGACTGTAGACGAGATGCCAGATCAAGGCTAATTACATTGCATATCCGTCCCTGGATTTTATTAAGGACCTTGAGACAAATAGAAGGGGCTTCAGACCATATATGGCAGCAATACTCCATGCAAGGGTGAATGGTTGAATTGTAGATTTGAAGGATCGACTCTGGCGAGAAAAAATTCCTGCTATGTCAATTTTCACCTTCAATCTTCTTAAATTCTGTTCTTTTATTGTTCGCGCTCCATAATGTTTCCCTTATATTCTCTCATACTCAATGTTAGTGGATCGTAACCTTGAAATGATAAATAAAAATATATAGTTTATATATTAAACATAATCTTCAGTCTACTCTGTGAATTATAGGGCAACAGTCTTACCTCAGGCGGTGTTGCTGCAGTGGTTTCCGTAGAAAGTTGTTCTAGACCTCCATCGAAACAGTTTTGAAATCAGAGCCGTCTATTTTCTGTACTTGTGGCCAGCCGTACTTTTACGCTAGCCGTGTGAATTCTGCTTTCTTTGAGTCTTTTCCCAGCAATAAGACAATATATCCCTTAGGACGTCAGGAGGTAGTGAGACTGAAATAATACAAAAAAGAGAAAAACAGTAAAACAACGCAAATTAAGAAGAGAAAAGATAACGATTGACATTGCATTGGAGATCAAATTTGACTGGAACAAGTGAAAAGTGCGAAAGAAGAAATTGCTAACATAGAACTTCGAGTTAAATCTATAAATTTCAATTGCATATGATGAGACCTAGCTCGCCATCTAGAATGTGCGTGATTCGGTGAAATAGATGTACCAAAAGAAAAAAAAAAACATCGGAATAATCACCATGAAAATATTTATAGAAACTTTACAGAGCGAAGCTATTTAACACTATTTACATTGTCTTTGATGTTGTTCGCATTCTTTTGCTATATATTCACAAGTTTTGACCGCCGTACGCTCCGGCCTTCTTCAGATGAAAAGAACTTCGAACAGGACACTTTATTTTGTCCCCCGGGATAAATTATTCATGTTCCACGTGTCATTCATCTTCCAAATGTCTCAGTATAAGTTATCTCCCTTTAACTCAACTCACCATGATTTTATTCACCTCAGCTGTAACCAGGTATTAAACTCACAATTCTTTGGGTCAAGTCAATGGATTCAACCAACGGTAACCAACGTGTTTATCCACTGGGCCATGTGTCCTTGACGGATATAGACAGATAGAAGGAAGGTACTTTACGGCTGTGAGATTGAAACAGAGGCGCCAAATCAAGACCAATAATCATGCAGATATTTCTATGAATTTCGCCAAGAATCTCTAAATACATAACAGAAGCTCGAGACCAGATGTAACAGAAATATTCAGCGCATGGATGAATGCTAGACTTATAAATGTGTAAAATAGTTTCCGGCAAGACAAATTGTCTAGCGCGACACAAGGTAACCAACTTTGCTAGAAACAGACCTGACAATAGATTCCATATAATTCTTTCACTTTATGCCATCGGTAAACGGAATCCTCAGGAGGTGCAATGCCAGTCTCCTGCAGGTTAGCATCATCTATGCTGAGGGCAGGCAAAATATTTTCTTGAAGACTATTAAAAGAGAAGAGTTTCATTTAGGAGGCGATAAATAAAATACATGAATATAAGGTCTACAACCATTATTTCTTCTGTCTATTGTTATGGAGAAGATTGTTTAGATTGTAGTGATATCAAATAGCTTTACGTATGAATGCAGAAAGAAATGAATCCATTCTCATTCCGAAATTATTTCGACAATTCCCAACAGGAAATAGAACTCGTTCCGCCAGTTTTATTTTCAGGTTGGTTCACTGATACAACTCATAGAAATTCCATTTCCGCGAACGCCAATATTGTAAATAGAACTGAAAGTTTGTCTATATTTCTGAGATGAGATATTATGTACAGTATTTACATTAGTCGGACTATTGTCCTCATCTTTGTCGCCACACTTGTCACAAGGTTTCAGCCGTTGTACGCTCCGGCCTTCTTCAGGTGGTTGGAATTTCGAACTGAACCCTTCATTTCGATCACTGGGGTAGACTATCAGTTATCAGTTATCTGCTAACTGATAACAGCAAAATTGCAATATGAGCACTGGTAAAAATAATGCTGAAAACATTAGGTTTATAATACTCAGAAGTTCATACCCAGATGACACATGGCACAGTGGATAAAGGCGTTGGTTAGATCCAGTGACAGACCCAAAGAAGGTGAGTTCAATACCTGGTTAAGGCAGTGGAGAACTTTCAGAGGGAAAATTAGCAACTGATAACTGACATCCATCAAACTAGAACAGTCTACCCCAGTGATCGAAATAAAGGGGTCAGTTCGAAATTCCAACCACCTGTAGAAGGCCGGAACATTGTGACAAGTGTGGCGACAAAGATGAGGACAATAGTCCGACTAATGTAAATACAGAACTGAAAGTTGTTTGCATTTAAAAGATGAAAATTATGTGCTCTCCAAAATTCCCTGTCTTTTTCTACTCGCTCGTCACCAGTCTCTATCTTACATACGTGCTGTGGCATCCCTATATCTTTTCTACAAATATTTTCGTTGCAACTGCTCTGAGGAGCTACTTTCACTGGTGCCCCAACAGCATGAATTTAAGCGTGCTACAAGTGTGGCATCTCGATCCCACCCTTTTACTATCGAAACAGTTAAATGTAACCGTCTCTTCTGCTCCAAAAGCTTCTTATGTCGGACTTCGCGACAGTGGAACTCCCGTCCTCTTAATTGCTTCCCTGGTAGCTATAATCTCCAAATATTCAAATGTAATATCAATCGACATTTTCGGATGCCTTGATCCTGGTCCCCGTCCTTCTCTTTAACCTGTCCTCAAACACCCCTCCTTACTCTTGCTCTCACTCTCTGTAACCCCCTTGCGTGTTAGTGGCTCTTCCGCCTTGCTTCGGGTGAAATGCTTAAAAAAAACACACCTTTAAACATTTACCCTCTCTCTTTGTCCTTTTGCAGCTATACGTTTGCTCAAGCTCGTTAAGTAAATTGCCTAACAATTATTTCAGTTTCTCTTACTTTAAATATGTCCTGTGAATGTTAAATTCTCCAGGCTCCCTTTCTTCTTTGTCTGACGCCAAAATTACAAATTTCTTGATTGATATTATGTTTCATTTCAGTTCCTCTTCGCCTTAAAAGTTTTTCGTTGTGCCATCTATTGTATTATAAACCTTCGTTGGTTGAAGCGCATCTCTGTTGCTTTAAAGTCATAATTTGCCGAGTATATGCATATATTATAACAATGTATATTCTTAAAAGATTAAAATCAATTAAATCTAAGCTATATAAATATCTTCCAGTGATTAGTGTCTTTAGAAATCTAGCAACTTCCTTAGCATGAAATTTTTCAACATATCACCACCATTTTAAAAACATTTGTCTTATATTCAATTGAATCTGATTGATATAGATTCCGCAAACTCAAAGTTAAAAATGGGTAAAAGGTCATATATTTGAACAAAATTCGAATTCGCATCATGTGTAAATTTGACAGCAGAAACACCGATCTTTCTACATTAAAAATCATCTTGTGCAATGTCAGGTCTCCGAAGTAAGTATTTACTAAGATTAGTGTAGTCGAGTAATGCAAATACGCCCTAATAACACACATTAACGTTGACGTGTATACAAATATGCCACTTGTTTTGTATTTCGCATTACTTTGACATACAGATAATAACCAAAAATGTATCCTGATATCGTGTCATGTTGTGTCACAAGAGTTGTAAGTTAAAGACCCCACGTGTCACTAAATTATTTTATAAATCTCATGTATCTTTAATATAATTGTTGATATTGTGTACATAAAATGCTTCACTATGAATAATAATCAAATATACGTAATATCAGTAATTGTAATTTTTTAGTCTAAGTACATGAGAAGTATATAATCATAATAATTTATTCTGTAAAAGATCAAGAAGGATATTTGGTTTCCTGATTGGGCTTATTTTTATCAAGGGGTCACGTCAAAGAAATATGAAAAATTGAAATAAAAGACACCAAACAGGAAAATGAATATAAATTGATTAAAATCGAAGAGAAGGAAAATATAAATAAAAACTGAAGAAAAGCATAAAAGTAAAAACAAAATTGGAAATGGAAAATTCGGGGTTGGTGAATCTAGTGCGTCCGAAAAGATTGATAATAAAATATGAAGGAACGATAAGAATGTGAAATTGGATGAGAGGAAAACAGGTAACAAAAGACTGACTGAATAGAAAAGAGGCGGGAAGGAAGAAGAAAATGAAAAGATACGAAAAGCAAATGAAAACGAAAAAGGATATGCCAAATATGAACAATAAAGAAAAATATTATGAAAGAAAAAAATGAAAAAGAAATATAAATGAAGACAGATATATAAATGAATAAGATGAACGCAAAGAAAACCCAAAAGTGAAGAAAAATGAGTAAAGGAAAAATAAACAAGAGAAAAATTAAAAACTGTAAAAATTGTAAAAACGATGAAGGCAAAAGAATAAGAAATTAAAGAAAAAGAAAGAAAGACAGAGAGGAAGAGCAAAGTTTTAAAAATCACGAAAGAGATAAAAAAGGAAAAGGAAAAACGATAAAGGAGATTAGGAAATAGAAAGGAAATAAAACAAATAAAGAAAACGAAAAAAAGATTAGAAGAAAAGAAATCAAAAAAGGAAGCTAAAAAAGAAGAAATAACAAAGATGAAAAGATATCTAATGAGTGGATTAAAGAAGAAGCGAGGGTGATTGGCATTTCTAAATAGGGAAGAAAGACAGAAAGAAACTAACAAACAAACAGACAGACAAAGAAATATAAAAGAGGAAAATAACAAACAAAATTGATGAAAAAATAGAAGAAAACTAAACAGAAACAAAACCGATTAGAAAAAGAAGACAAAGACATAAAGTGTAAAAGAAAAGAAACAAATCAAAGAGAATTTATAGTGGGTGACGGTAGCGAAGTGTTGAGGGAAAGCAGACAATGTCTGATCGACCAACTGCTGCGATGATTTCTTAACCTTGCTAAGAGATTGCTTGGTTTGAAATCATTTTCTCTATTTCCAGACGCTGGTGGCTACACCGGAGCATGACCATTGTAGTTGCACGTGTAGCAGTCAGCCTGACATCAATCAGTGGCCAGAGCATTCTAAGGTAGACAACTGCGCCGTGATTAAACGCTTCTCCAAAAAGAAAATTTAATTTGCTTTTATTTAATATTTAATAAACTTTAAATAAAACTAGTGATAGATTATTAATATCATTAATTAATATAAAAGAAAATAATACTGATTTGAAAGCACGCAGTCAGTGACAAATACAATGTTTACATTTGTAAAAATTTGAAACGTTGAGTTTTTAATATTACTTTTCCGATTGATTGCTCAAAATTGTTCGGCTGTTGCACCTTACAGTTTTCTTCATAAATTTGTAAGTCTGTGAATTTCGAAAAGAAGTCTTAATCAAAGTTCTCATTTTTTGGGCCATTCAAGGAATGCCTCTTTGTTATTTTTTTGGTTATTTATCATTGCACCGCTGAACAAATGTATATAACATTCTTGCGTTATCTGAAACATGAAGTGAACTCACGACCTCTATATTCATTAAGCCTACATTGCTATCTACCAGGCTATCTTCGTTATATACGTGCAAATTTGGAGTCTTCACGATTTATCTGCCTCTTCAATTGAATAATAATTTATGATTTTGCACTACATTTGATGTATCACGTCTTTTTAAACTTCTGTATATTTTTCTTTCTTTCTTTCTTTCTTTCTTTCTTTCTTTCTTTCTTAGAAGCTGTCGTAGCGTGCCCATTTCTATGCTAGGCCTACTGGAGAGGTTATTTTTGTAGCTGTAGTCTGATTTCTTCTGTTGCATTATTTTTCTTATGATTTATTAAAAAAATAAAAAAAATGTAAAAATAGAAAGAAAATGAAGGTGAAATGACAAAAAAATAGAGAAAGAAAGAACGAATGAAAGAAAAGAGAGAGAACAAAGAAAAAAAAACAGGAAAAACACAAAAGAAATACAAAACGACCAGAGAAAGAGAAAATACGATAAACGATTTAGGGAAAGTAGAAAGAAGAGAAAATAAATAAAGAAGGAAGAAGAAACAAAAGAAAGAAAAGGAAAAGGGACCTGAAGAAATGCGAAGAGAAAAGGAAACTAAAAAGAAATGAATTAACAAAGATGAACATACGTCTAATGTGTGAAATATAGACGAAGCGAGAATGATCGGATTTTTTAAAAGGAAAGGAAGAAAGATAGAAAGAAAGTCTGCCGTAGAATGCTCATTATTATGCTAGGTCTACTGGAGTTGTTATTTTCGTAGAAGTTCATTATTTTCCAGGTATTTATTATGTCTAGAATACACATATTCAGGTATATAGGATAATTAAACACTTTTGGTTCAACACTATTATTTAAGTAAAATACATCTAGTAAGAGCCAATGTAAAAGTAATAACTTGAAATGAAATTCTATATGAGATATATTTGCCTAGACAGCATTTTCCAATTATTATCAAGTCTATAATTAAATCTCTTTTTTACATCTGTTTGCTATCTGTTTTACTATCTGTTTTAATTTCTTTGTTTTTAGCTCAATTACCTGGGAAAAAAGAACCTTAGACCAGACAATGCTATATATTAAGTAAGCACTTAACCGTGAACGAAGATGGTACGTCATTTCAAATGTAATAATTTTGCACGAAGTATTTTATTTAGCACTTCAGAAATGAGATAGCAGATCGTATTATGGAAGTTTAACATACATATGCAGGAAGAAATATAGTAAAAATTGAAGGGAAGAATAAATAATATTTATATAGAGAAAGACATCACGAACACACAAGGAGAAAAATGAAAAAAACAACTATAAGGAAAAGTAGTACAAGACATCCATGACTTTTTTTTGTTAGCCTTATGTTCAGCAAGTCATCTCCTTCTCTCCTGATAACGTTCTTCCATCTTAACCCTTTTTTTTCTTAACCCAGTCATTCTTCATGATTTTTTTCTCCGTTTCATTCTTTCTTCTTCGTACGGATTTTCATTATTTTCTTCTTTATTTGATCCTGTTATATCAATTTTCTACATTCAAATTTTTTCTCCGTTTCTTTCTTGGATATTTTGAAACATTATTCTACCCAATTCCCGATACATTTTCTCAATCTGTTCATTCTTTCGATTCTAAATTTTCAACTTGATTGCATTAATCACAAGTTAGAGCGAATAGTTGGGCTAAAAAAAGACGATGTCCAACGTCGGAGAACCATTAATTTATAATAGTCCCTGTCTTAAAAATTCAGCTTGAATATAATCTCAGTTTATGGCTGTTCGTCAATCTGTTTTCGTATCAAATATATCTGCTTAAAACCGTATAATTTTTAGTAAAATAACAACTCTATATTTCTAACTCTATCTTAGTCTATGCAAATCTCTCTCTCTCTCTCTTTCCCTCTCTCTCTCTCTCTCTCTCTCTCTCTCTCTCTATCTATCTATGTTACTCACTTTTGTAACTTTTGTTTCTTTACTGGATTCTCTCCTCTTTAAGTTTTTCAGCCGCCTTATTTTTTTTTAAAAAATCAGCTTGAATATATACTCGTTTTATATCTCCGTTCATTAATCTGTTTTCGGACCCAATATATTTGCGTGTCAACCATATAATTTTTTAGCACAATAACGGCCCTACATTGATCATTCTATCAGCCTATTCCAATCTATCTATCTATCTATCTATCTATCTATCTATCTATCTATCTATCTTACTTACTTTTGTACCTTTATTTTCTGGACTGGAATCTTTTACTTCTTTTAATTTTTTTTCAGCTATCTTGGTTTTTTTAACACTTCCATATTCATAAACGTTTTCTTTTCTTTGTTTCTTTTTTCCTTTCTTTCTTTCTTTCTTTCTTTCTTATTTCAATTTTCTTTATTTTTCTTTCTTTCTTAATATTATCATTCCAATCGATTTCTTAGCGCGCCTCTCTTCGTCAATGGCGACGGATTTTAATGAAATTAGGAGTTGCTGATAATTCTCAGATCAATGGCTGTCAGTTCAATACATCAAAGATTGCCATATTGCGGCCATCTTGCATTTTATGGCCGACTAGAGTTGAACAATCTGCCGACAGGGGGAGCTGCTTGTATAAGCAACACCGTCGGATCGTCTCAATAGCTCGGGCGAAGGAGTCGGGTGTCCCCTGTTCATAATGAGATCGACATTTGAAATAGCCGTCTTCACGAAGAAAAAGCATGAAAAATATAAAAAGAAAAAAGTTAATAAAGAAATGTAGAAACACATTAGATAAGAAAAGAAAAAGGGAAAGTGTGGATGGTGTTGAAAGAATATGATGGCGAAGAAGTACAACGTGGGGGACACGAAGGGGGAAAACAAAAAAAATGCCAACATTCGGTAAAATAAAGCCAGCTAAACAAAAACAAATAAATACATAAAAATGGAGGAAAATGGGAAACTAAGAAGCAAATGAGAAAAATGATTAAAAAGAGAACAAAAAAAAATAGAAGAAAAATAACCAAACAAAAGAAATGGAACACGAGTCGAACAGTAGAAAAATTGTAATGTGAAAAGCGAGAAGCAAGTTGGGAGGTCAGAAGGAGAATCTTGATTTCGATGACTAAGGAAGTTTTCAATAATAATAATAATAATATTAATAATAATAATAATATTAATAATAATGCTAATACTACTACTAATAATAATAGAAATGATTCTGTGTTTGAAGAAAACCTTGAACAGAAAATAATGAAACAGAACAATTAAACTATTTTTACTGAAACTTATCACGATACAAGGCAAAGAGCCACTCAAGTCAGAAAGGCAACTGTATGGGGGAGCTGTATGCCTGTAAAAAGAGGGAGTAAGAGAAGATTACGATGAGATATAGGACAGATAACGGTTGAAATTGGAATTGAAGAGGTCAATATTGTAGTGAACGAAAAAGAATTCAATGTAAAGATCTCAGTAGAACATCCTTTTACCAGTTACACGTAGAAAGATACAACGTTCTATATTAATAATAATAATAATAATAATAATAATAATAATAATGTCTGATAGTGTTCAGATTGCAGCAGAACTGAGCTTTTCAAGTATATTTTGGAAGGTGCTAGAGAACTAAGGAGACTTGGTTTAAATTTTGATAATCACCAGAAATTTAGAGTAAATTCAGGAAAATAAAATTCTATTACTACTACTGTTATCGCTACCACTATTAATACTACTACTACTACTAATAATAATAACGACGACAAGAAAATGAAAAGAAGAGCAATAATAATAATGGACACCGTATAGCCCTTCACAATTTCGGTTCTAAAGACTACTGGTGGTTCAGTCGCTGTTTTCTTCAATCAATTAGAAGTGTTGTCATCTACTACTGATAAAGCGATGTGCATTGCCCGAAAATTCTCTTCCAACTCCACTCCCGATTCACATGAAATATCCCTGTGTCATTTTTCCTCTAGAGCACAGTTTCTGTTACCATTACTAAACAAGAATCCCAAAAGGCTTGTGGATTTGCTGGTATCCATGAAATTGTCCTAAAGAAAAGTGCTACTGAACTTGCTTCTGTTCTTTCCAAACATTACAATAAATGCCTCGCTACTTTTACTTTTAAATTTGTTGAAAGTTCTCCTGTATAGTTCCTCTCCTTAACACCTATGTTGAACCATCGAATTATCGTCCTATTAGTCTCTTAACTCATTCTGACAAAGTATTAGAATCTCTAATCAAAGCCGAATTGGTTAAAATATTGCTTAATATTTATATAAATAATATGGCTTCATTTTCTCCAAGTCTTCTACCCATAGTTTAATAGCCATCACTGAATTTCTCTATGAAGCTTTAGATAAGAACGACTAAATTGCGGCTGTGGCCGTTCATAACTCAAAATCCTTCCACATGTTTTGGCTTGCTGATCACAAGTTCAAAGGCTACGGTGTGTGTGGACGAATATTTGTCCTAATCCAATCGTTCCTAACAAATCCTTTAAGGGACATGCTTCTAGTTCATTTCATATTAATACAGGAGTCCTACAAAACTCTATACGTGAACTTACGCTGTTTCTGATCTTCACCAAGGACCTTCCCAATATCATTAATTCTCTACTAGGTACATATGCAGAT